CTAAGTTGCCCAGCAGGTTGGGCTCAAACTTTCTATCCTCATGCCTCAGACTCCAGGAATGCTGGGATTACAAGTGTGTACCACCACACCTGGCTCAGGCCTACTTTGGTATCGGGGATTGAACCTGGGACCTTGCTTATGAGGCAGGCAGCGGAACCACTAAGCTAAATCCCCAGCCCTTTATGGCCTGCTTTAAATAAAGGTAGAGGTGATCAAGAGAGGGACATGAGAATGGTGAGGGATGAAGTCATGGTCTTAGCTTCTTTGGCATTTCCCCGCTGTTTAGAGCTTCCCTTTAATTTCCTCCTGTGCTGGTCTTGCTGTATGCAGTCATCATGTATTAATTTTAGGGATATATTTGGAGAAATGCATCATTGTTCATTTTGTTATTGAATGGACATCATAAAGTGTACTTGCACAAACCTGAATGGTATATTCTGTTGCATGTGTATGCGATGTGGTGGTATATACTGTTGTGTGAGTTTTTTCCTCTTTTCCTCCCTTTTTCCCTCCCTTCTTTCTCCACCCGCAGAGAATTGTTATGTGGAACATGACTCAGCCCTTCTCAAATATATTAAATATATAAACTATAAGCTGCTTAGAAAAACAAAAATGGGGCTGGGGATTTAGTTCAGTGGTTGCTTCCAAGCACAAAGACCCAAGTTTGATCCCCAGTACCCCCCCAAAATTATAGGATGATCTATATTATATAAAAACACTTTTTGGGGCTGGGAATGTAGCTCGGTGGCACCATGCCTCCCTCGCGAGCACAAAGTCCTGAGTTCGATCCCTGGTACCAAAAACAAAACAAAACAAAAATCCCAAACACTTTCTGTAAATTTTTTTGGTGGTGGTGCTGGGCTTGCATCCAGGGTTCTGCACATGCTAGACAAGTGTTATACTTCTAAGCTACACCTTCAGACCTTTTTTTTTCTCCTTCCTTCAATCCTCAGTGTTGAACCTAGGGCCTTAACACTGAGCTACATCTTCAAAACCCCACCACCACCATTTTTGGTGGTATGGGGAAATCCAACTCAGGACCTTGTACTTTGTGAGGCATGTACAGTGCCACTGAGCTAAATTCCTGGCCCTTCAACCCTTTTCATTTTGAGACAGGATCTTGCTAAGTTTCCCAGTTGGGTTTGAACTTTGAATCCTCCTGCTTCAGCTTCCCAGTGTGCTGCAATAATAGATAGGGGCCAGCATACCTGGTTTACCATATATTTGTCTGTGTCGTTTCATGTATCTGTTGTTTGTTCCTTTTTATTGTTTTGTTTTGTTTGGTACTGGGAATCAAACTCGGAACCTTGCGCCTGCGAGGTAGGCGGCAGCACCGCTGAGCTAAATCCCCAGCCCTGTTCCTTTTTATTGTTGAGTAGCTTTTAACTTTATGGAAGTACTACAATTTGTTATTGATTTGTTCTTCAATTCTCTGTTTTGGTGATTTTTGGCTTTAGTACTGGGGATTAAGCTCAGGAGATCTTGCACTTGTGAGGCAGGTGTGGCACCACCTAGCTAAATCCCCAGCCCCCGTTTTGGTGATTATTAACAACGTCTAAACATTTATATACAGGTCATGTGTACTTTTTTGGGGGGGGTGTACTGGCTATGAACCTAGGGCCTTCACACTGAGTTAGAAACTGCCCCCTCCATAACTTTTGGCTGTACTTGTGATTGAGCCCAGGGTCTTTGCACTAAGCTAGCTACATCCCAGCTCTTTTTTTTTTTTTTTGAGACAGGGTCTCACTATGTAGTTGAGACTGACCAGGAACGCACTATGTAGCCCAGGCTGGTCTCAAACTCACAGCAATCCTCTTGCCTCAGCCTCCCGAGTGCTGGGATTACAGGCAAGCGCCACCACACCTACACCTGGCTTTGGTATAATTTTTTAAGAAACTGCCAAAGTGTTTCTAAAGTGGCTGTGTTATTATTCCCTCTCCTCCCACCTTCACTGTGCTGGATTTAACTCAGTGCCTCTTGAATACTAGACAAGTGCTCTACCACTAAGCTGTACATTCAGCATTGCTGTACCATACCATTTTGTGTTTCTACCAGTAATATGAAATTCCATTTGCTTTTTGGGGTGTCTTTGTGGTTTTTTTTTTTTTTTTTTTTTTTGGTAGTGGGGATCGAACAAGGTCTTCGCGCTTACCAGGCAGGTGGTGGAACCACTGAGCTAAATCCTCATCCCTTTTTGGTTTTTTGAGACAGGGTCTCACTATTTAGACTGATATGGAACTGTGTAGTCCAGGCTGTTCTCAAACTCACAGCAATAGTCCTGTCTCAGCCTCCCAAGTGCTGGGATTATAGGTGTGTGCCACCAGGACCATTTTTATTTTTTGCGGGGTGGGGGATGGGTGTGTCTTTGTTTTTTAAAGTTCTGAATTAGTTGTTAAAGAATTGCTGTATCTGGATGAAATCACTTTTGGTGATCCTAGTTTTGTTATGAAAAGCCTACACCTTTTTTTTTCATACACTCTTGATACTTGTTTTAGCTTCAATTTTTTTTGGGGGGTGGTACTGGGTATTGAATTTAGGACCTTGTCCTTGTGAGGCAGGCGTGCTGCCACTGAGCTAAATCCCTGGCCACGGAGTAGCAGTTTATTATGAAAACTGAGTGACAAAATGGCCGGTATTACTACAGTATACACAGAGATACTGTTCCCCCTTCTTTTCGTGTTTACTTTGTTTTATACTATTAATATATAAACACATTTAGAAATTTATTTTTATTTATTTATTTATTTATTTATTTTGGTTTTTTGGAGGAAGGGTCTCACTGTGTAGTTGAGACTGATCTGGAACTCACTATGTAGTGCAGGCTGGTCTTGAACTCACAGTGATCCTCCTGCCTCAGCCTCCTGAATTTTAGGATTACAGGTGTGTGCCTCTATGCCTGGCCTACATTTAGAAATTTAAGATTGGGGCCAGGAGTGTTGCTCAGCAGCATGGCACTTGCTTGGCAAGTGTGAGTCCCTGAGTGCTATCCCATATAACAACCACAACAAATGATGGGCAGGGTAGTGCATTCCTGTAATCCCAACACTTGGGAGGCTGAGGCAGGAGTATCACAAATTCAAAGCCAGTCTGGACTACATAATGAGTTCAAGGCTAGCGTGAACTACATAACAAGACCCTGCCTCAGAAAACAAAAAAACAAAGCAATAAAGTAAAAATTCCCATCCTCATCTAAGTGAAGTCAGCCACTCACTAATATCTGCATGATGGAGCTGTTTGACACAGGGACTGTGCTTAGTACTGTGGGTCTGCCAAGAGGATTAGGATGCAATCTCCATCCTCAGGGAACTTCCAGTGTGTCTTTCCTGTGTCTGCTTTGCTGCTCTTATGATAAAATTGGGGTTTTAATTAAGTTTGGATTGGGATTGTTCATCTTTTCCCCTTATAATTGACGCTAGAGGGGAGAATTATGTTGGGAACCAGTAAAGCAAGAATTTTGGTTCAGTCAGTGATGGCAGAGAATGTTTTCAAGAAAGATGGGAGATACCATCAATGCCTCAGAGCTGCTGAGCACTTCGCTGCAGCTGTGGACATCACTTGGCTTGCTGTGATCTTTCTGTATGTCTCTGAATAGTCCATGCTAATTTTGTGGCTGTTGGTCTCTAAGGAATGATGTGGTAAATGAGGAGAATTTCCATAGAAATCATAGCTATTAAGTAGTAATTTGAAATACTAAAATCAGTTCCTGATTACGTGAATGTTCCTTTTTTTGTAGATTATTTTAGCTCTTTTGCCATTTCAGTCTCTTGGCACTTTGGGAGTTGAGTTTAGTCATTTACTGTATTTGGGTGGTCCAATATTTGTATTCTATTGAAAATACAAACAACCAGTTATACTAGGAGATAGAGTCTTGTGATGAGTTATGACAGTGACTAAAGGTTTTCTAAGATACTTCTACTTTCACATTTTTTGAGCCCCTCATGCCAGTTTGGGGTGGCAGGTATGAATGGAGTTCTGAGGCCCTGGAGCAGTTTATATGTAGTACCGTAGGGAAGACAGACAGGTGGGTAGCTTCAGTACTCAGTGGCGAGCAGTGGTAGTGGTATGTGTAGGTGATAAGGCTCACCAAGTTTTGGCATCTGACCATGTATGTTTGCATGTATGGGTGTGTTCCAGAATGGCTTCTTGGAAAAAATGATATTTGTTTTGAACCAAATACGTTTTTCCTTTTCAACAATTTTTTAAGGATAATATTTAGGCTCGGGGCCAGGGATTTGGCTCTGTTGTTCTAGCACCTGCCTCCTCGCAAGTGCAAGGACCCAAGTTTGATCCCCGGTACCAAAAAAAAAAAAAAAATTTAGACTTGCAGTGCATTTACACAGCTCACTGCATGGTGGCCTATACCTGGAATCCCAGCTTCTCAGGAGGCTGAGGTGGGAGTATTGCTTGAATCTGGGAGTTCAAGGCCAGCCTAGGCAGCATAGTGAGATCCCCATCTGGACGGGTGCCATCACATCCACCGAGGATTTTTTGTTTGTTTGTTTGTTTGTTATTTTTTTGGTGGCAAATGGGGATCGAACCCAGGGCTTTCACAATGAGCTATATCCCCAGCCCTTTTTATTTTTTTGTTTTGGTACCGGGGATCGAACTTGGGTCCTTGTACTTGCAAGGCAGGCAGCAGAACCGCTAAGCTAAATCCCCAGCCAGCCCTCTTTCTTTTAACACAGGGCTTCCCAATGTGATGGGATTACAGTCATGGGCCACCGATCAGATTCTGGCTGCCCAGACTGGTCTTCAGTTGTGGGCTCAAGTAATCCTCTTGATTTAGCCTTTCATGTCACTGGGACTACAGGCATGAGCCACAGTATTTAGCTCTGAAAATCATTTTTTATCATCATAGAACCATAGGCAGTGATTAGGCACTCTACTCTTGCCTTTGAAGTCATTCTGAACACCTATTACATGCAGAGTGGGTAGGAAGATTTTTGTGGACATAGAAGATTATAGGAAAACTACAACACAGTTGAAATAAAGTAACTCTGATCTCTTAGTTCATGAGTGTAATGATTGAGTGTTCATGCCATTGTGTGAGATGTCCTTCCTTCAGACCTTGTTATGACATTGGCACATCAGTCATCCATCATTTTGGGGGGATAAAGAAACTGAGGTTCTTCTCACTGTGGATTCTGGGTTCAGGAATTAAAAGGCAGCACATCCTGAGGAACCCTAACAGTCTTCAGACTAGCCTACACAATTCCTGCTAACTGATAACTTTAGACAACTGCTTGTGCTTTTGGTGGCTACAGGTCAGTGGTATAACTGTGTAGATTTTTGTTTTGTTTTGTTTTGTTTTTTTGAGACAGGGTCTCACTATGTAGTTTAGACTGATTTGGAACTCACTATGAAGCCCAGGCTGGTCTTGAACTCACAGTAATCCTCGTGCCTCAGGCTCCCAAGTGCTGGGATTACAGGAGTGCGCCACCATGCCCGGCTCTGTGTAGATTTTTTCATCCTCTGATACTAGGGATTGAACCTAGCCATGCTCTGCCACTGAGCTAAATTGCAAGCTCTTTTTTTAAAAATTTTGAGACAGGACCTTTCTTACTTGCCCAGGCTGGGCTCAAACTTTGGATCCTCCTGCATTAGTCTCTCTAATAGCTGAGATTACAGGCATGTGCCATTGTCTATAAATTATTGGAACATGTAAAATTTAGAGACAACAGCTGGGTCAAATTTAGCTTATTACTTCTAAGTAAGACTGTCATTTTTAAAAGTTCTTTTTTCAAGTGGTATTTGGTTTGTTTGTTTTTTTGTTTGTTTGTTTTTTGAGACAGGGTCTCACTATGTAGTTGAGACTGACCTGGAACTCACTGTGTAGCCCAGGTTGGTCTCAAACTCACAGCAATCCTCTTGCCTCGGCTTCACAGCCTCCAGTGCTGGGATTATAGGCGTGCGCCACCACACCTGGCTTTTAAATGGTATTTGGGATTGAACACAGCCCCAGCCTTCTTTGTGGGGGGCAGGGTGTGCTAAGGTATTGCTAAATCAGTAAGTTGCTCAGGCTAGCTTTGAATTTGTGGGTTCTGTATCAGCCTCTCAATGTTTTGGGATTATAGGGATGTATCACTATGCCCGGCAGTCCCCCAGTATTTAATAGCACATGTTGGTTTGGGAATGAAAACTATAATGTGCAGTAATCACAGCTTTTTTTTTAAATTGCAGCACATTTACATAAATGCAGATTTAGAGCTGTGACGGTATTATCTGGGAAGGTTGGCAAGGATTTATAAATATACCAAGAGGAGTTTATTTATACTTCTATAAGAATTAAGAAATTGGGGTCCTAGTAGGATTTTAATTGGTTTGACTGGCTTAGAGGCTGCTCAGGAATTAATTTTTATTTTTGTTAAACACTGCAGGAGGAATTAGTTTATTGTGTGGAGTTTGGGCATGTGTGGAGGAGGAGCACCAATTTGTTTTAAGGAAAGAGAAAAATGTACAAAGAGATTTGTACATTTATTCATTTGCAAGATCAGTCCTGTTTACATGTGAATTCTCTTCTCAATTATAGGGAAATTGGGCAAACAGTCTGTGTCAGCTAAATATTAGAATGTGGGCTGGGGATATAGCTCAGTGGCACTGTGCCTCTCTTGCAAGTGAAAGGTTCTGAGTTTGATTTCCAGCAACAACAACAAAAAACACAACCAAACAAACAAAAAAAACATGACAGACTGATTCAGATCCCACAAAGTAAGGGGGAAATAAAGCTTTAGATAGGTATTGTTTTTGTTTTGGTACTGGGCATTGAACTCCGGTCCTTGTGCTTGCAAGGCAGGCAGCGGAACCACTGAGCTAAATCCCTGGCCCTTGTTTTGTTTTTTGAGACAGGGTTTCACTATGTACTTGAGACTGACCTGGAACTATGTAGCCCAGGCTGGTCTCAAACTTTCAGCTGTCCTACCTCAGCCTCTTGGGTGCTGGGAACTGAATAGTGATGTATTTATTTTATTTTATTTTTGAGACAGGGTCTCACTATGTAGTTTAGACTGACCTGGAACTCACTATGGAGACCAGGCTGGTCTCCAACTCACAGTGATCCTCCTGTCTCAGCCTCCCGAGTGCTGGGATTATAGGTGTGTGTGTGTGCCACTACGCCTGGCATTGAGAATGTGAAATAGGAAAAAAGGTCTAAAGGAGTAGGGGAAGTGGGAGGGGTGGGGAAAGGAAAGAAAGGAAGGAAAAATATAGGAGAAAAGGAAAAAAATGGAAGCAGTCTTTGTAAATAGTGAAGGATGGGGGGGTGAAGGGGAAGACAGGGAATGGGGAAAAAATAAGAATCAAGATATATCAAGTAAAGGTACAAGTTCCCAGTGATGAATGTAACTATTGTATACCTAAAATGTACCAATAAACTTAATGGAAAAAAAATACTGCTACTATCAAGAAGTTTTTGGGCAGGGGATTTAGCTCAGTGGTGCTACTGCCTGCCTTGCAAAGGCAAGGTCCTGAGTTCGATACAGGATTTTGGGTTTTCTGAATGAGATGGAAAGCCATTGGAAAGGTTTGAGTGTTGAGCCTATGGCCTTCAGTATGCTTGGTAAACATACTTCCATTGCTCTTTCCCAGCTCTTTATTTTTATTTTGAGGCAGGTTCTCACTAAATTGTCCAGGTTGATCTCCACAACTTCAGAGCCTGTAATCTCAGGTACTGGGGAGACAGGAGGACACCAAATTTGAACCCTACTTGGGCAGTTTAACAAGATTCTTTATCAGTCTAAAACAGAGGGCTAGGGCTGGGGATTTGGCTCAGTGGTTCCGGCGTCTGCCTTGCAAGTACAAGGACCCGAGTTTGATCCCCATACCAAAAAAAAACCATAGAGGGCTGAGGACATAATGCGGTGGTAGAGCACTCCTGGGTTTGATTCCCCAGTACCATAAAAATAAAGCAATTGCGGGCCAAGGATTTAGGTCATGGTTCCACTGCCTGCCTTGCAAGGGCAAGATCCCAAGTTCGATCCCTGGTACCAAAACAAAACAAAACAAGCAATTGCATGATTTTGTTTTAATACTGGGGATTAAACCCAGGACCTTTCACATGCTAAATATATGCCACACCACTTAGGAGAAGAGGGTATTACTATATTGCCAAGGCTGATCTTCAACTCCTGGGCTCAAGCCATCCTCCTGCCCAAGCCTTCTCAGTAGCTGGAACTACAAACATATGCCAGAGCATCCAGCCTAAGATATATATATATATTTTTTTTTCAGCTTTAATTGAGTTTATTGGTACATTTTATGGATACAGTACATTTATATTCATTGTTGGGATCTTGTACCTTTACATGACAGGTCTTGGTTCTCATTTTTTCCCCTTGTCCCTGCCCTCCCTTCACCCCCTCCTTCCCTCCCCATCTACAACCACTTTATTTCCATCTAAGATATATTTTTTAAGTTAATTGAATTTATTTTTTTTTAGTGCCTATGAATTTTATAATGTTAGGTTTCAATGTGGTATTTTCATACATGAATGTAATATATTTTAATCATTCTATCCCATTATCTGCTCTTATACTCTTCCTTCATAAAACATTATTTAAAAATTAATAGTAGGGTAAAAAATAAAAATTAATCCTTTACCCTCATCACTGAAATAGGTGTATTTCCAGACCTTTTTTTGTGTGTTTGTGTGTAGCTTTTTTGAGACAAGGTCTTGCTTGTGTGTAGTTCAAGCTGCCTTTAAATTCACATGTGGCCCAGGCTGGCTCGAACTCACAGTGACTCTCCTACCTCAGCCTCCCCAGTGCTGGGATTATGGATATGTTCCACCACCCCTGCTTATTTCCAGACTTTTTTTTATACCTTCATGTGCATGTAAATACATAAATGTATAGTTTTTCAAAAACAATCATGCTGCTGGGAGTGGTGGTGCACGTGCCTGTAATTCTAACACTGGGGAAGCTGAGCCAGGAGGATTGCTGTAGTTCCAGGCTGACCTGGGTTACTTAAGTAAGTTCAAGGCCATCCTGAGTTACGGAGTGAGACCTTGACACAAAAAAACAAGAGTGGGGTGCAATGGCTCACAACTGTAATCCCAGCACTCGGGAGGCAGAGGCAGAAGGATCACCCTGAGTTTGAGGCCTGGACTACTACATAGTGAGTTCAGGGCTGACCTGAACTACAAAGGGAGATTGTGTAAAAAACCAACCAACCAAACAAAAATAACAAAAGAAACAATTACACTATGCATATTATTTTGCAGTCTATAATTTCCACTCAGATGGGAAGTCAACGAAACTCTTTAAAACAACAATGCTCTTTAAACAACTGCAAAGACATTTATATTTTTTGTTGTTTTAAGTACCTTGGGAAACATTTTATGAGCAGCAGCAACATTTAGTATTGATTTGCTTAAGTGTTAATAGTGAGATGCTTTTAAAGTGATCACACCTGATTTAGCTCAGTTGTTCCCCCGCCTGCCTTGCAGGCATAAGGACCCAAATTCGATCCCAGGTACCAAAAAAAAAAAGTGATCGCACCTTTCAGAGAACTTTCCATATGTTCTGTAAAAAAAATAAAAAGAAAGTATGTGATGTACTATTTCTTAAGGCTGCCAAGAGCCATTCAAATTTTTTTCTCAGAAAGTTCAGGGTCATCTGTTTTGGAGCATTTGCCTCTGAAGATGTACCTGTTACCTGTGGTTATGAGATAATTTTCATCTGTCTGACAGTAGAAAGAAAAATTACTGAACCTGTGAAGTTCTTAGGTTCTTTTCTGTTTGATTATAAAGGAAGAAAAGTGTTAGGTGTATCAAGCTCTGCATAGAAGGCTTACCAATTTTTAATTTATCACTCATTACCATAGATACTTTTGTCATTGTCAACTAATTCACAAGATAGGTCATTACATTTTGTTTATTTGTGTATTTGATTTTGGGGGGGTACCAGGGATCGAACTCAGGGTTTTCTTTTTTGTTGTTGTTTGTTTGTTTGTTTGTTTGCAGACAGCATCTCACTATGTAGTTCAGGCTGGCCTTCTACTCACTATGTAACCCAGGCTGGCCTTGAACTCTTCAGTGATAGGATCCTCTTGCCTCAGCTTCCTAAGTGCTGGCAATGCTGGGATTACAGGCATATATGCCTCCAT